GTGATAAAAATTGTGTTAAAAGAGTAATTAGAGATTAAGCCATGTCATTTTTGTTTATAGACATATCATCATTTTTTCATGACAAGTCATAGTTTTGAGCAAATAAGATTAAAACAAATAATCATTCTAACTAATTGTACTTCTCTTTTAATAGGAAGAAGATTTTATTATAAATACTACAATTTTATAGTTTTATATTCACGAAACCCAAAAAAACATCTTAGATCCAAAAATGAATAGTCTAGTAATTTTTATATTAGTTATTGCTATATATTTTAAGTTGAATGAAGCAGCATGTATATTTAGGGATTCTCCAAATAACATAATAGAGATTCAAAACCAACTTGGTCCTGCTAGAACTCTCAAATACTATTGTTATTCCCAACACGATAAATTATACGGTTATTTTGATTTTAATACCACGAAATCCATTAAATTTAAGGATAGTTTAGTCGACACGACATGGTGGATATGTCTCCTAAAGCAAGGGTTGTGGTTGAATTATTCTCGAGAATTTGAAGCTTATAGAGGAGATACGCACTTGGATTGCCGAAGTCGATGGAATTTACTTAAAAAGAAATCGAATAGAACCACCAGCCCGTGCACTTCAATGGAATAAAACTAATTGATGTTTAAAACAGAGTTTTTTTTTTTTTGTATTATAAACTACATAATCAGGGGTCGGATATACAACAAAAATATAAATTTATTTGATATATATATGTGTACTGTATTGATTTTTAAAATTTTTGTAAATAATCACATTTATCTTATTTTGGGTGTAAATGGTGTTGGATGAGTAATATATGATCCAAGTTGAATTCAGTTGATTAGACACCATTTACCTATGTTAACTCGTAGAGTTTATCAACTGAATTCAACTAGATTTTGTAATTCATCCACCAGTTTGACCAAAATTCCTTGGCACGTATGCATAACGATACAATTTGATGAAAGACCATTTTATAAATGGAATCTCTAGGGAACACAAACTTGCTTGTTCGTGAAAATAATATCCAAGTAAGAGATTAAAACCATTAAAAAAGAGTAAGAAATTATTCATAAAACCTTTAGATCTAACTCAGGAATTCATGAACACAGATGCGTGCAAACTGTTGAACAACATCACAACACAAAGGACAGCTTTCTTGGAGATCTCCATATAAACTTGTTTTTGCTAAGTGGTTGGGTTTTGTTTTCCAGAGTTATTACCAGGAGCCTTCTGCACCAACTGTTGGGTTTGTGAAAGCAGAGAATTCCCAGAATGTCTTCAATGAGTATGGCTCAGAAACCGTCACGCCTTCCTCTGTCATCTTTGCTATCTGCAGAGTTCCCAGAGAACAGGTCTGGTCAGTGATCTGATTCTCAATGAAATGGAGTTGCAATATTATTAAACAGACCTGAAGCTTGTTGATAGCAGATCTGTCACGGTACAAAAGCACACGCATACATTTCTCCAGTAGCTTCACACCATCTTCAAAACTCAGGTCTTCACGCCATTCATCACGAAGAATCGGCCTAGCTAGGTGGTTCCCAAACCCGGTGGCAACATGGTTGTCCTCAAAACTAACACCAATCATTGAGACCTAAAGAACATCACAGAATCTATATAAGAACTGTTACAGACATTAAGAAGTTCGAATGCAAAACAAAATCTTAGGCATTACCATTCCAAGGTACTTCTCCCCGTTTTTAACACCTCCAAGCACGAGAGTGTTCCACAAAGGATTGAACTTGTTCCGGCGATTATACATAACTCGGGTCAGATAGTTGTGAACCTCTTTTGGCCCCAAGGAATTACCATCATCCCACATGTTATCATTCAGGCTGAAAACAATAAGAGTTCAAAATCAAGGGCTAAAGAGGGAATGATTAAGAAGGAAAAGAAACATTATATCAAACATTTTCTTACACGAGCTCATCAAGATAACGCAAAATTTCCTGGAAGTCGCTGATTTCTCCACTGGCACCAAGAAGAGAATGCTTACCGATCGCCTTCATTCTCTCAATGTTCTTGTACCTTAAAGTGGATCCATACGAACCTACAAATCAACAAAAGTTTGAGCTTGATTTGAATCAACAGTCTCACCATTCTCTAGAGCAGAAAATCCAGGAAATCAGAATCACACTCTTTTGAGTTAAGGAAATGGTTGGAACTCTAGAGAGCTAAGGCATACTTAAGACAATTTGTTGGCCCAATCAGCAAATCTTTGGCTAATCATATTGGGGTTAAGGATCAGCAAACCTTTGGCTGAATCATATCGGGGTTAATGTTACAAGAAATGTAACTATGTCAATGAATGAGCATAACCTTTTCTTTTGCTAATGATAAGTAAATTGTTGGTGATAAAAAGCTTTCGTTCCCAGTAAGCCATTTCTTCTATTTGATAATACATAAGATGGATACAGTAAAGTTTTTGGATGCTACACTTAAATTGATCAAAGAAAACTCAATCCTGTGTTCACTACCAAACTTGAGTACTCAAATACATATACATATAATGAATCAACACCGAGTGAGATGAAACAAGTGTTACAAAGCAACCAAACTCATATAGATTTACACATTTCTTTACGCTTATATCTATATATCAAGCACTAATTTTACAAGCACTCTTGTAAACAATGAAGGATACATAAAGTAAATTGCTTTATAGAACAACTAGAGAACATACCTCCCATATCAGAAGCCATTAAAATCCCATCTTTGTACTTGATAGCGACCACTGAGGTTCCAGTAACATACGGGTACCTACCAACAACCAAAAACCCTTAAAAAACATATGAAAATCAAATCTCAAATTTTCTGATTCGAGAACCCTAAGAGAAGTTTTTACAGTGTTCTCTGTGAATCAGCCTCTGCGTTCTTCACTTCATTCCCGTTCTCAATCGGAATCGTAAACTGCCGAAGAAAAAATAAACACCCAAAATTGTCCGATCAAAAATATCAAAACCCAGAAAAACAAAAAAATCCATGAGCGATTGAAATATTGGAAAAAACTCTAGACTGATCCCACTTACAGTCATCGTCTCGATGATGAAGATTTACTATAAGCAGCCACAGAAGCTCCAAGCAAGCAATCAACAATGGCTTCCTCACGATCTGATGTTATGTATCTTCTTCGCTCCTCTTTCACTGGAAAAAAACGTTCTACGATTTCTCTTTGCTCAAGAAACAAATAGAAACGGGTCAGGCTTTCCAGTTCTACCGGGTCCACCCGACCCAGTCTCCAATTATTATTAGCCCAGGCCCAATAGCTTTTTTCTCATCAAAAAGGCTATATTCATCCACTAATCATCCACTAAATACGAAATTGGATTGAATAACTCAAAAAAATCTTTACTTTAAAAGCATAACCCTAATGGACAATATTATGCACATAACCACATATGCCAATTTTTG